AAAAACATCTTTGCAAGATTAATTACGATTGACACTGAAACATTTGCGATAACCCGTAAAATGAGCGATTTTAGGGGTGTATGACGAAAAAAATCTGAGATACGACGGACCAGCGATCTAGAGATCTATAAGTTCCTAAATCTTGAGATTTCTGTTTTTGAAACTGCGATTTTTTCGAGGGGGCGACTCTATCTACGATGCAGAAAAGACTGTGTTTTGCTGTGGCTAGCTGCACGCACGCTGAGTAGATAGAAGGAAGATCTATGTCGATTTTGAAGATTTCCTGCAAAAAAATGAAGCACGATGCAAGTAGATACGAGAAATGAAAGATGATTTTTCGAAGATTGATTCGCTAGTGTGAGATTTTTTGAGCATCTAGAATTGAGATTTAGATGTGTCGCCCCCCTCGGATTTTTTAACTTTAATATTGAGATTTTTAGCCAACGGGCTAGTTTATCTCAAGGTGAAATTGCGAAGTGTGATATGAATGAGGACTCTTTAAACAAACCGTTGCTTCTAACAATTTTACGGATTTCCAGTTTGTTTAAATTTCCCGCAAATTGTCAACGACTAAGGATCTTATTTAGAGGAATTTCGATTACAACATGATTTCAAAATCATATGATTATAAGATTTCATAAACAACGCTGGTTTAATAACTCTTATTATTGAAAAGACTGACTGCTGAAGTTCATAGAAACTCCCTAAAGTTCGTAAAACTTCCCTGAAGCGTTAAGGTCTTTCCTGAAGGGTTCATTGAAGTTTGTATTGCCTGAATTTCATGGGACTTCCCCGAAGTTCGAAGGACTTTTTTTAAGATCTTAGGACTTCCCTGAAGTTCGGAGTTTTTTGAAATTCATAGGAATTTCTTAAATATGGTAGAAGTACCACGAAGTTCGTAGAAATTCTCAGAAGTTCGTAAGACTTCCTTCAAGTTCGAAGAACTTTCTCGAAGATCTGAGGACTTCCCTGAAGTTTGAAGGACTTAACTGAATATATGAGGACCCTAAATTTAGAAGAGCTTTCCTGAACTTCATAAGGGTTTAAATATCGAAGGGTTTTTCAAAAGTTTGAGGGTCGTTCCTTAATTCCTTGGAAATTCCCTGAAGTTTGCAGAGCTCCCATGAATTTCGTAGGACTACCTGTAGCTCAATCGACTTCTCGGAAGTTCTAGGAACTTTTTTGAGCTTGGAGAACTATGTTAAGTTCAGAGGACTTCCCAAGAGTATTGAAGCTCGGAAAAAAAATCCACAAGTGTCATAGAATTATCCTTAAGTTTTAAGCAATGCCTAAATCTCGTAGAAGTTACATTAAATCTGTAGAAAATTCTGTAAAATTCGTACTTATTCCCCAAAGATTAAAGGACTTTCCTGAAGTTCGTAAGACTTCTCTGAAATTTATAGGTCATCACAGTAGTTTACAGGATTTTCCTGAAACTTGTAAGGCTTTCCCGAATTTTGTCGAACTTGCATGAAGTTCGAATGCCCTATCTGAAGTTTTTAGAAATAGAACTTTTTTATTGAACATGTTGAACAGGTACTTCAAAGAAGTTACGCGTCGGCACTGCTTAAGTCTGCTATCAATTAGGCACAAATCATACATGCAATTGATTCGAGAAAAAAATTAAATTAAAAATAAATTCAAAATACATATATTTACTAAATTTTTTGTTTTCTTTATTTTGTTTTTCGTCGATCTTGTTTTCCGTGCAGGGCACCAATGCTACCGACGCCAGGGAGGCAGCTCCCACACCTGGACCCTACCTATCGAAAAACCTATCAACTCATGAACCGGGAAACAACGGCTTTACTTTCCTTCCGAAGGAAGGCGTGATCAGAGATGTTATGCCTCAGAACATCCCGGCGGCGCCGACTGGGATTGAACCCAGGCCTGCTGGGGTGAAAGGTAATCACGATTACCATTACACCACCGGCGCCGCTGATTTACTAAATTTTCAGGGTGAATTTTGTTCATCAATGTTTAGTTGTGTGAAAGATTTAGCTTGAACAAAATGGTTAGTTTTGACGTGATTATAAAAAGAAACTTTGACATACATAAAATTTAAAACCTATTTAAATTATACAAACAAGATTATTTTCCTGGTGGACTTATGAAATTCCTGGTTTTTTTCCCGGTTTATCCCGGTGAAAATAAATTCCCGACTTTTTCCCGGTTTTCCTGGATCACTTGCCACCCTGATTTACGTGAAAATCAATTGTTTTCTATGTGAATCACTCAAATTTAATCTCTGAAAAGTGTGATGGAAAATATCTACGTGCCTTTTTAGGCAGTGCGACGCCTCACTGAGGTTACGGGACGCCACTGATAAAACATGAAATTAAGCCCGCCCACCAACAGCAAGGTGCAAAAACTAGCCAAGGAGAGCGAAATATTAATCCATCAATTTCTTAATCCAAAAGATAGAACCAACGCCGAACCATGGAAGCCCCCATAATATCAACACCACCATGTTTGAAAGGCTTAGTAGTGTACTGGGACTAAGACCCATTTTCATCCATCTGATCCGCTCAGATTGATGTTGGATTTGTCCAACCCGAGAATTATTAGCCACCTTTTGCCATTTTCTGGGCCGAACCAATCCAAATGTTTTCTAACGAACTGTCTAGTGAACTGTATCCGGTTTCGGAGAAGCTTTTTGTTAAGCAGCGGTACTTCCCTGGAGCTTCATCCAATAAGATATTGCTCAAAAATTCTCAGGCGAATCGTTCTCGAACTGACCGACAAAAAAAAACAATCAATATTTGAAAGCCAGTTGAAATGACCATCGTGACTCACGGTCGTTTTTCGTAATCATTTGGGTGTCAATCGTTGCTTTGGTGATCTAAGAGCATTGAAATCAAATTATGATATTGCCGATTTTTTATGCGATCTTCCCTGTTCGTTAAGCCTTACAACCACTGCTGATGAAAATCATTTCTTCTACACTCAACTTAATTGAAAATGAAGACAACCTTAATAGATAGACCAACTATCTGCATGAATTTGAATTTTGACGTAACAACATTCTTTTGATTAAAGCAAGTTCTGAGTAACGAAGCCAACATTTGTGTTTCTCCATTCGTTGCTGGATCTTCATTATCACCTGTGTTGTTGCTAATATTGATATTCGTCATCATATTGGTGGGATTGATTTTGAGGATCAACTGCCAAACGATTATTTTCAGACCTGTACAACGCGTTGTGTTGGTTTTTACACACAGATCGATGGAAAAGTATTGCCTCATGCTGAATAGATGATAACATCGAGGTTTTAGGCTCTCAGGGTCGACAATATTCAAAATAATCATTTTGTCCTAACTGAAATTGATTATTTTGCTTTTGAGAATCGCTTCTGATTTTGACAATTTCGGGTTGGATAATCAAGCACTGGTGAATATCAACAAACGCTTATTCGTTGATGTATAATGAACTCATGTGTGTTCATTTCACTCGTATTTTCCAAACAAACGCAATTTATCTACACTGGGTTGAAGCGATACTTCTTGCGTATGATGGTAAATGATAAAAACGGACACTACTACAACACCTCACCTTTCCGTTTCCGTATAATGTGCTGCACACCCCATATTTATCTACAAGTTTCTATCAAATGCAAGATAAACGTATTTATAGGGGGAATGGCTCTAATGTTAGCCTATGGATTTGGGCGTAATTACATTTGTAAACAAACACGTCAATCGACGATTTCTTGCGAATAAAATCTCAATATCGAAAACAAATAACACCATCAGGTAGAGGATTGATTGCTCTGTCATTTTGTATAGTATGTTTACGAGATTGAGCTTTTATTCGTGAGAAATCTGTGATTAACGCGTTTGTTTACAAAAGCAATTACGCCCAAATCTCAAATCACTCCGGTTAAGTTTGGGCCCATCGCTAAAAATCTGCCGTTTATCAATTTTATCTAGATGAACGCGTCTTTGGGACGGTACTAATGGATATTTTTGGTCGCTATTGAAAGTTTAGTCGTTTGCTGAATTTATGTATGGGCCCAAATTAGGGCATTTAGGCCGACATTACATCCATTTCCCCTAAATGGTTATTTGTGTAGTGTACCTCGTAGCAACATATGTATGTACCTGTGGTACTCATTGGAATAATTATACGGTCAAATAATCTAAACTACGTTGTAGTCTTCTTTTTCACCAATAGTTTTTCCATGTAGGGGATAGGGATGTAATGTCGGCCTAAATGCCCCTAATTTGTACCCATATATTAACTCAGCAATCGACAAAATTTTCAATAGCGACCAAAAATATCCACTTGCCGAAGAAAGCATCCAGCTAATGCCGTTTTCCGGTGTAGTGTAAGCAGCAATAAGCGCAAGTCATTGACAGCTCATCATTTATTAGTAAACAAAGGTGCAACCGATAGCTACACTCGATTTTTTTTTCGGTGTACGGTGGTGTAGCGCCGGTTTAGCTAGCTACACCGCAAAAACTCAAACTCAAACAGAAAGTGTGTGTGTCTGTTTTATAACAGTCCTTACTACCATTTAGCCAAAGATTGAATTGTAGAAAATTGTTTTAAATATTATTTAATAAATAATCAGTGGCATCCGTTAGCATCACTTTGTACCTGTGCATCAACATTCAAAACCAGATTTAATGTCACATTTATACTCGAACCGGTTGAAAAATACACATAACCTTTAATTTACTCGATATCTTTCCATTTCAAGCAATATTTTGAGAGTTGGTGCTCAGGTAGATTGAGGTTAAGACAACGCAGTGAAAATAATATCATAAAAATACAATAATTAACAATAAGCACTGAAAAACCCGTGTGCTATGTTTTTTTTTTTTTAATCAGGTAGGTCTGTATAGTTTATAAGCCATGTAGACGATTCAAAGGAGGGAAAGATAGTTAATGAGTGTCTATGGATCATACCGATATATTTCCCGGATTACCAGATTACAGGTAGGTGACATAATCCTCATCAGTTAATAAAAACCCCTTAAAACAACAAATGTACTCACCCACAGCTTATCGTCGATCGAGAACGCTTCGTACAGTTCCACGATGTTCGAGTGCTTAATCTCCGACAAAATATCTATCTCCACCATATGATCACTCAGATTCTCCTCGTCCTCCAAGGTACACATTTTGGCCGCTGCTAGTTGCCTGGTTTCCTTGTTCTGAGCTTTGTACACTTTGCCGAACGCACCGTCTCCCAGTTCGCCAATCATATCCCAGAAATCATTCGGATCCGTATCCATCCGAATGTTGTTGAAGATGCGTTTCTTCTTGGCCTCTCCACCGCCAAGGTGGAAGACCTTCTTCAGGTTGTTTAGAAAAGACATTTTGACGCGATTTCTGTTTTGTTCTCACCTTCGAACCGCTCACTGGCTCACACTCACTTTTCCGTGCTCACTTTGGACACTTCCCTGTTCTTCTTTCTTCGCGGGACGCCTTTTCGCGCTTTCCGCTTCACGGGTAATTATTTAACAATTTTGCTCTTCGGCTCTTTGCTTTTCACCTTCGCTTCTCGGCCACTATACACAGTAATATCTTACTTATTTTCCTGCAACTACACTGCTGTTGCTCATACTGATTTTAGTTGCTTTTTTTTTAATTTATTTCACTCCATGGTTTCGACTTGCATTCTTCCTCACACTTTGCTTCTATACACATTCACGAAATCTGGTTATTCAATTTTTGCTTCATACATATTTCACCATGCATTGTATGCTTTTCATCTGCTTTACCCAATAATATTCTTTCACATGCACTGATAGGTGGGGTGGGCACTGCTTTTCGATCTGCACTTCTCGAATTGACACAAACACTAATCGTTGGCGCACAACAGGCACAGCATTGATAAATGAAGAAATCACTCAAAAGGAACCAATAGCAGAATATCAAGAGCACAACATATGCACGTACACAGGTGGAACAAAGGTTGAGATGAGGAAAAACGATTGTGCGATTCCCTTCGACACTTCACTTCACTGCCACCGCCAGGGGGGCTACCACCACTAGGCAAAGAAATGCTTGCTTCTGATGATTTTCATCCACTTGGCTAGCTGCACTGATTACCGTTGGGTGTGATAAAGAACGACGTTCCGCAGCACCTGTGCCGACTGGGTTGGAGAGTGCCATTTTTTCATATGCTGACAGCGGATACGCTGCCGGCAGACGGACGAAACAGCGGCGAAGGCCTTGGAGAATCCGGTGACGGTCATCGAATTCCGGAAGCCGAGAGCTTTGCCGCTTCTTTGTTCTTCGCCACCAATCCGTCTACTGTCTGCTACCGCTCGCGGGAGAAAGTTTGTTTGTTTTCGATGAAAAATATCCGAATAAATTAGTTGGATTCTCTCTGTTTCTTTTTTTCTTTTTGTTAGCCCATGGTCACCGCGTGAAGAAAGCAATTATGATGCACAAATTGAGCTTCAGGTAGTTGATCTGGAAATAGAGAAGACAAAATGTACGGTGTTATTACTTGATGTATCACTACCGAGAACGAATTATGCATACTGTGTGTATATGGTAGGTGTTCGGTAAAATAAATAAAAAATGTTACACATTTCCATGTTTCAAGAGTTTTTTCTTCTTATATGCGTTGTTAAGTTGTTATTGGATTTTATGTCTCAATTTAGTCTTCAAATTTCTGCAGCATTTTTTTTATAAACGCTAATCAAGTACCGATCTTTAGAAAATCCATCAGTTATATTAAAACAATGCAATGGTTATTTAAAAAAGATGATTCATTGAGATAAAAGTAAGATTTTCAACTTTTCCCTAGTGATATGGATAGTAATATCAAAACCTACGAATATCAGTGTCGGAACTGAAAATCAGTGCTAGACCAATATCTTACGTCAGTTGACATTGTTGACAGCACGCAGCACTGCCTAGGACTGAAACAAATATATGGAAAAATCTAAGGGAGTTCTAACCAGAGTTCCATGAAATTATTTTGAGATGAACTCCAAGGAATTTCTGTGTAGAAGAAAGATAGTTCTGAAATGAAGTTCAAAATTTACCTTCTTCCTCTTATTCTTCGCATTTCAAGCTTATTGCATTCGCATATTAGCTTATTGCGTGCTCTCAACTTAGTGTTCTAGATGCACTTCCACAGTTATTAATTGAGAGCTTTCGATGCCTGTACCATTTTTGCATTAAAGGGTGATACGGTCAAAATTTGGTCAAGGGAAAACGCGTGTAAATCGGTGAAATCGTTTATTTAAAAAATCAAATTAAATTTCTTTTTCAAGTTCAATTAGGATAAAATTCAGGAAAAATATTCAGTTAGGCTTCCGCTTTTCCAAATCCGAATTGCCGGGCCTTACGCTTGACCCCGCCATCAGATTTTGTACAGCCACCTTGTCCACCTTCTTCGCCGCAGAAAGCCAGTTTGCCTTGAACTGCTGCTCGCCCTTAGCAGTTTTTTTGGTCTTCTTTAGGTTCCGCTTGACAATAGCCCAGTATTTCTCAATTGGGCGGAGCTCTGGCGTGTTGGGAGGGTTGTTGTCCTTGGGAACCACCTGCACGTTGTTGGCGGCGTACCACTCCATGGCCTTTTTACCGTAATGGCAAGATGCCAAATCCGGCCAAAACAGTACGGAACAACCGTGTTTCTTCAGGAAAGGCAGCAGACGTTTATTCAAACACTCTTTCACGTAAATTTCTTGGTTGACAGTCCCGGAAGCTATGAAAATGCTGCTTTTCAAGCCACAGGTACAGATGGCTTGCCAAACCAGATATTTCTTTGCGAACTTTGACAGTTTCATGTGCTTGAAAACATCTGCTACCTTTCCCCTTCCTTTTGCCGTATAAAACTCCTGTCCCGGAAGCTGCTTGTAGTCGGCTTTGACGTAGGTTTCGTCGTCCATTACCACGCAGTCAAACTTCGTCAGCATCGTCGTGTACAGCCTCCGGGATCGCGCTTTGGCCGTCGTATTTTGTTTATCATCGCGATTTGGAGTCACTACCTTCTTGTAAGTCGATAGTCCGGCTCGTTTTTTGGCTCGATGCACGGTTGTAGACGATACACCCAGCTTATTTGCGGCATCTCGGAGAGAGAGGTTAGGGTTTCGCTTGAAACTACCGGCAACTCTTTGTCGTCTCAGCGGCTTCCGGTTTTCGATTTCCCCCCGATCCAGACTTCCTGGCTGTCGACAAACGTTCCCCAAACACTTTAATTACATTTGTAACGGTTGATTTGGCAACTTTTAGCAAACTTTTGGCAAATTTTCGCGATGCGCGAGCAAAATTTTGATACGCTGCTCTTCTTGCTTGGACGGCATTTTGACAACTGAAGAGTGAATTCCAAAATTAAAATAGGAGCAACATTCTACACACACACACCTTCAAAATGAGGGGTGTTCAGGTTTTTTAAATGCAAAATTGAAAGAAATACGTCAAGTTGATATTGACCAAATTTTGACCGTATCACCCTTTAGTATAGGAAAGTTGAGAAATTTTCCAACCCGAAAAATTCCTGGACCGTACCGGGAATTGAACCCAGACACCTCCAGCATGATCTTGCTTTGTAGCTGCGCCTTTACCAACTGAGCTAAGGGAGGCCTTCAGATTTACCTTCTTCATGGAATATAAAGTTGTACCATCTTTCCTTCAGCGCAAAATATTTTACGATCCACTAAAACTAGCCCTGATAAAGATCCCAACCCCTGGATCGAAATCTAAACATTATTAATAATTCTTCAAGATATTCTGGTACTGCTCTAAAGATTTCTAAGCTCCAACAAATTTCTAAAGACTTCCCTGAATTTCTCAGAACATTTTGAAAATTCCAGCATTTTTCCTGAAGTTCAGTGATCTATCCTAAAGTTTCTAATGTGTTCGAGACTGAAGGTCATCGAACACCCCTTAAAATTTCTAAACTTGTCTGAACTTCTCTGGACTAACCTGAAGTTTTTGTTCCTGCATGACAATGTTTCCTAAATTATCTAAAAGTTCTCAGAAGTTCCTTAACGAGCCAACAATTTCCCTCAAACATTATTGGAGGCGAACCAGCCTAAGGCTGAAAGCCTCCTAAATAAAGCTAAATTAATTAATTCCCTCAAACACCGCAAAAATCCTGAAATTTTTGAAACATTCCTGAGCTTTTAGGAACTATTCTTGAAAGTTCCAACAATTAATTTAATAAACTGCTTTGAAGATATATGATAGCAAAAAATAATAAAAGTGCATTAAAATCTAAAAAGTTCTCAGGACTTCTCTGAAGATCTGAGAGCTTTGCTGAAGTTTTTGGAAATTCCCTGAGTTTCTAGTTACGTTAATTGAACTGCACTAAGGTTCTCAGATCTTCTCTGATGTCCTTGAAGCTACCTGGACGTTCGTGCAGTTCTCATAAAGTTCTACACCTGAAGATATTCCCTGAAAATGTCTAGACTTTTGTTATGATTCTAAAATATGTATGAAATATTCTCAAAAGTTCTCTGAAATTAAGTTTACCGAGTTATCCTAAAGTTATAGAATTTATCCTTTACCGGTCATTAAACTTCTCCAAAAGTGTGGACTTTTCCGAAGTGATTGGGATTACTCTTAAGATCTCTGAGCATGTATGAAGATCTCAATAAATAGCTTGACTGAGGTTCTTGGAATTTATATAAAGTACCCACAAGTTTTATGGACTTCTCTGAAATATTCTTGATTTCCCTGACGATCTAAGAACTTCTTAAAAGTTAAAAGTTCCTAGTAGTGTCCATGAAGCTGATGGAACCACCTTGAAGTTCTAAAAAACTTACCTGAAGTGCCCAAAATTTTACAGAAGTTCTCAGATTTTACCTTATTATCCCACAGTCTGTCCATGAAATTTTCCCGAAATCCAAAGCATTTCCTTTCATTCCTCGGATCTTCTTCAAAGATCTCAAAAAACATATGGACCACTTTGAACTTCTCTAATCTATCCTGAAGTTCTCGTTTCTCTTCTGAGGATGTTTCTGGAACTGCCATGAAATCAATGAAACTGTACTGGAAATCTCTTAACATCGCGACGTTTTTGCATGTTCCTTGAATTTATTGGAGCTTCTGTGAAGTTTCAGAAAGATGTATTAAGCTCTTTTGATCTCCCTGATGTTCTCTGCAAGTCTTTAACTTCTTTAAATTTCTCACTATTTTTCTAATTTTAACTGCTTCAAAATTCTCGAACAACATTTGAAGCTCTCAAAACGTTGCTGAAGTTTCCGCAGTTTTACTGTTATTCATGGAACTATTTTGAAGTTCTCAGAACAACCACAAGGTACACACAGCTTCCCTTAAAAGCTTCAAACTCAACTGAAGTCATGTAAAATCTTTAAACTTCTAATAAGTTCCTGTAATTTCCCTGAATTTAATGGAATAGTTTTTGAAATTTTCCTGAAATTTATGGAAAGCACTGAGACCATTTTAACCTAATATTAAAAGGATCTGAAAACTTGACTGTAAATCTGTAAAGAGCTATACTGAAGTTATCAGAAGTTCCATGAAATTCTCGGAATTATCATGATATTCTCAAAACTATGATTCCCGCAATTCTTCTATTGTTCAGAAGAAACTTAAAGATAAAAAACTGTTTTTATTTTTCTAAAAATATTGGAAATTGATGTAGAAAATCTAAAAAAAAGTTTAAAAATAACTAAATAAGATATTTGAATAGATTTTTCTCCTTCACTTTACATAAATCTTTGTTTGTTTTTTGTTAGGTAGGTTCCGATTCTACACGTTGTAGTTTCATTTTTATACCTGTGATCTTGACATTTTTACCTAGGGGATGAGTACTTACGGGGGTTAGCTTTTAGATCTTTAGTGGGAATGACACTGATGAAGACTGCACATTGTAGTCGAAATACGTATCTGTCATGGATACCAAAATTAATTAAGTGGAATTAAATGGAAGATAACCTTTTTTGCTGTTTTATTTAAGCATTCCGCTAACAACCCAATTTCATTACTTCAGTTTAAAAATACCTTTTCTACGTCATCATACCATAGTTGCACTCAAAAACCGCAAAAATCAACCTGTAGATTTTTAATAGAGCCAACACATTTTTCATGATGAGCAGCGAATCCAAACACATAAAGCAACCAACGATACAGACAAACGGTTGCTACGACTACCATGACAAACTCGCTCTGTAACATAGCTCGATCAGAGTGGTAGAAGGATAATGATATATTGCTTGCCTGCCTACACGGATGAGGACATAGCTTGATATGAATCGAGAAAAGGCATAACAAAAAATTCCCATTAACACACGTGTATCATGTTCGGCTTTACTTCGTGAAGCAGCTTGCCAACAATTTTCTCGTTTCCTTCTACCGCCCCGAGTGAGTTGTGTCGCACGGGCTACTTGTCATGAAAAAGAAGGAAGAAGATTATATCATTATTGCTTTGCACTTCTTATTCGGTTCGTTGATCGCTTTTCATTTTGTCATTTGGAGATATTTTTGATTCCTTG